ACACACACACACACACACACACACACACACACACACACACACACTCTCACCCTGCAGCCCACACTGGTCTGAAGCTCTCGCTCTTCCTGACTCAGCCCCCATGCTGGGATGACAAGGCTGTACCACAGCCCGCCCGGCTGTGCTCTAACACCCTTAGGCTTTCCGTGGGCCGCTGGCTCTGAACACAAGAGTTATTGTCTGATGCCCAGCCAGCCCCATGGTGCCTCTGCCCTTCAGGCTTGTCCTCAGGAGATTACCCAGCTGGATCCCCCCTGGAGTGCTGCCACAGGCTACCCTGACTGAAAGGGACTGGACTGCCTCAGAATTAGCGGGGATTTGGTTAGAGTCATACATCTTTTTTTTTTTTAAGATTTATTTTTATTATTTTAATTATGTGTATGGGGACGGTGTATGCACATGAATGCAAGTGCCCACAGAGGTCAGACTCCCCCGGGGTTACAGGCAGTTGTAAGCCGCCTGTTGTGGGTGCTAGGAGTTGAACCCGGGTCCTCAGGAGGAGCAGTGTGTGCTCTTAACCGCGGCATCATCTCTCCAGCCCATGTCATACATCTTAACAGATCACACCCGAGCTTCATTCCACGCTATTGCCGGCCCCAAAGTCGGCTAGGAATGAGCCTAGAGACCTTTGATCTGTGTGTCTCTTTAAAGCATGCAGGGTATGGTGGAGCACACCTTTAATCCCAGCACTCAGGAGACAGAGGCAGGCGGATCTCTGAGTTTGATTGAAGCCAGCATGGTCTACAGAGTGAGTTCCCGGACAGCTGGGAACATAAAGACACTGTCAAAATCACGCATGCTCAGTTCAGTTGATGGATTCTCTCTCTTTTCCCCACTCCCTCCTTCTTCCCACACTCCCCCCACACACTTTGGATTTTTGAGACAGGGTCTCGCTATGTAACCCTGGCCGGGCTCCTCTTAAAACACAGTTCTTGTACATTTCTTTGTTTTGTGTACATGTAAAAATGCACATCCCATAGGGCATGTGCGGAGTCAGAGGGAACTGGTGGGAATGTGTTCTCTCCTCCCACAATGTAGATTCCAGGATCAAACTCAGGGCATCAGGCTTAGTGTCAAGACTGCAGAGCCGTCCGGCCGGCCCTCCCTCTGCCCCTGATCCGGGGTCTCCCGCGCAGTCCAGTTCAGGTGCTAAAGAGATGGCTCAGTTAAGAAGAGCACTTGCTAGGAAAGCAAGAGGACCCCAGTTCAAATCCCCAGGGCCTATCTAAAAGCTGGCCATGAGCACCTGCCTGTGATCCCAGCATGGCGGGGCAGAGGGAGGGAGCGCCCTGGGAACTTGAGAGTCTGTCTCAAAAATTAAGGTGAAAAACAATAGAGGAAGTCACCTGATGTCCCCCTGCCCCCCCACACGTGCATGCACAAACACACACGTGCATACACACACACAAACATGCACATGTGCACATACACACGTGTGCACACACACATACACACACAACCATACCTCATGGCACAGCATGGCCGTCAACTTGACATCCTCCTGCCTCAACCCACTCTCGTTTTTCCTTTGGCTAAAGGTTTCCACTGCAGCCTGGGTGTGGCTCAACTTAGAAAGTAACTGTGGGTTTGGGAGGTGGTTTACCACGTTTAAGATTAGATTTGAGAAGCTAGTAGTGCCGGCCCCGCCCTCACAGTGCAAGTAGTTTTAGGTCTAAGGGGAAATGTGTTCAAGCGTCCAGGAAGTAGCTGGGTCTGGTGGGCAGGCCTGCAATCCCGTGTACTCCAGAAGCTGAGGCAGGAGGATCAACCTGAGTAATTTATCAAAACTGTCT